ATTTCGAGAGAAACTTGGTACAGCACAGTTCAGCACACTTCAGATTGGATGAGAATTCAATTTTGTGCAAACTGATTTCCAAAATTTTGGAGGGGCTGAGCGTCAAGCTGGCCCCCCAGTAGGATTTTGTCGCAAAATGACCGAATATGGAAATTTTGAGAAAAACCTGATACGGCACAGTTCAGCACACTTCAGAATGGATAAGAATTCAATTCTGTTTAATCTGATTTCCAAAATTTTGGGGGGGCTGAGCGTCAAGTTAGCCCCCCAGTAGGATTTTGTCGGAAAATAACCAAATATGGTAATTTTGAGAAAAACCTGATACGGCACAGTTCAGCACACTTCAGAATGGATAAGAATCCTTTTTGGTTTCATCTGATTTCCAAAATTTTGGAGGGGCTGAGCGTCAAGTTAGCCCCTCATCTATTTTTTCCTATAACTTTGTTATCGAAACGATACAGTTCAAAATATTATCGGCACAGTAAAGCACACTTCGAGCACAGTAAGTGGTTGCAATTTTTTTAGAAAATTCGAATGTGGGGGGGGGGCTAACTTGACGCCTTTGGGCCACCATCCACAACTTCATTTTTTTAAATAAGGACCGTTATTTTTTATATAAGATATTTAGCTTCTGATGTCCCAAAACCAATGACGTATTGCACTTATTCGAAAAATTTATTGTAGGTCTGTTTCTGCAGAAATCACCAATCAGTCAGAGCGAATTTTATTGGTTGAAAACAGTCAGAAAACTAGTTTCAACCAATGAAATGCACTCTGACTGGTTTGTGATTTCTGCAGAAACAGACCTAATATTGGCACTTTCAATAAGATTCGAATGTGCTAGAGAGAGACAGAGAAGAGAATTTTGGTGGGAAATTAAAATCTGTTTTTTTTTTAAAGAATGAAAGTCAAAAGACATTATGTTGGCAATACAATGTAAAATTGTCAATTCTTTCAAATTTTTCATGTAGAAAAGGCGTGTGTTGCCAACTTAGTTACTAAATTTTTGACTTGGGGAATTATCTTGAAAAAAAAAACAGACTTTACTAAAAGTTGAAAAAAACATTTTTTCGAATTAATGCGATACGTGATACGTCAGGTTTTGAGACATCAGAAGCTCTAAAAATCTGAAATAAAAAATTCAGGTTCGTATTTAAAAAAATAAAGTTGATGATGGTGGCTCAAAGACGAAACGTCAGATTTCAAATTTGATGGTAGCATCTTGTAAGCAAGAAAAAGCGGCCATTATGAGGTGATATATTTTTGAAATATCACTTCAAATAAGGTCGGGAAAAAATAAAAACAATTTTGCAAAATCTCGGTTTTTTCCGGATATCTCCGGGAGTATTCAGAATATCCTAAATATCAAAGCGGCATTCTATCAAGCATCAAATTACGTAACTTAGCCCCAATTTAACCAACGCTGTATCTCTCGTTGTTTCCGAGATCCCAATGATGTGGCTCGAATTTGAAACACCCTGTATACTCAATTATTGTCCCTAAGTCCTAGTGGTTCTTGAATTTGATTTTGCATATAAATTAAAAATAAATACTAAATGCCTTCAAAACCGACCCGAAAACGCTGGGAAATAATTTTAGATAATTCTTAGATAACCTGAATAGTTCAATAATTCTTCTTTCAGGCAGTTCAAGTGGTCGTTGATTTTTCCTGAGTTCTCCTCATCCAAGGATAATACACACTACTACACAGTATTGCTTATCGACCCCGTTTTTGGGAATCGCGGCCATATTGTGTAGCACCATTGACGACGTAATCAACCAGGTCCCCATCTGTTTGCGCCAGAGGTCGTAGTTTAGGTTTAGAATATACCTACATTTATGATCAAAAATATTATTTAATTTTGAATAACATATTGGGCAAATAGGAACATGCAAACGAGATCTAAAAAGGCGTTGTTTTAGAATGTTGATCAATGTACTCAAACCTAGTATGCATAAAGTAAAAGCCCGCGGAATCATAACCTGTGGTGCAAACAGCCTGTGTCAAGGCGAGAAACGACTTGCTGGTTCTATGGCGTGGTGGGCGGCTTGAGATTTGATCTACACAGGCGTTATGAGGATAAGCTATCCTGTAGTAGTAGTGTACATTATCCTTGCTCCACGTCTACGAAGCAACATAAGATTTTTCTGTCTTCTTTGTCATATGCAAAAAGCGATCACGAGATGGCAGCATAATTATTTAAATATTTTGAAACAATAATTTTTATTTACGACAATGTATAATGTTAGAATTATACTTGTGATTTTGGCAGTATAATGATATACCTATATTATTCCCCCAGGGAAGGGTAGCGGGATTAATGGTCAGTAGGTATTCCTCAAAAGTGTCAGTGTCAAACGTGTAGTGCTGGCGTGGATTTGTATTGAGAATTGAGTTGATGAAATGTTTTCATTGAAAATCTCAAATAAATTAGAGGCGATTTTCAGCCTGGAATGATTATTATTTGGTTATAACCAATGCATTTCCGCCGTCGCGGTTTTAACCAAAGTAGGGGAAGTTGTGACGTCACATATCAGCTGATTTGCTTTTGGTATTTACCATTTATAACCGATTATAACCCAGCTTTGGACTTGAGTTAATCTTTTGGTTACAGCTTTTTGATGTTATTGTTATTATTTTTGGAATTTGTATTGGTGTTTTGTGATTTTGCAGTTGCGTTGTAGCCTGGCACAATAAAAGAAGTATACATTCACTCACTCACTGCAATTCACCATGTTTAGATCGAGGTTTAGATCATCCCCAAAGAAAATCTGTTCGATAAACGAGACTAACGAGAGATTCAGCTCCATTTTTGTACCTGAACAAAAATCTGTTGACTGAAACGAAAAAACAAATAAGAATAATAAACATATTTCTACACTGCTATAACCAAATCATTTCAGCGATTAGTTCCTTGGGTTATGATTCTTGAATGGTGGGGGGCTATGACGTCACACTTGGCTGTCAAAGTTGTCAACCAAAAGAATAACCACGGTATTTACCGATAAATAATCATTCCAGGCTGAAAATCGCTTTTTTTCGTAAATAAAGTAGAGTATACTACTCGCAATAATGGCTATTATTCCCTCAAAATCTTACTCCATCGCCGCTAACGTGGCTCAGTTCGTGAATATTCCTCGGGAATAATAGCTATCATTATTGACTCGTGGTATAATCTACTATTTAATACTAATTAGTTTCGTGCACGAGACGTCGCTAAATTGACACTGGAGGAAAGACAACCTAACCTTACCCCATTTGTTTATATGGAGTTGGATTATCATGCTTTCTTCTTTTGATATTTTTTCGGTGTTTTAGTTATATTTTTAACTCACTCTCAGCATTTTAAGTCACTCTGCCCAATTAAAAATCTGAAACCTCCAGTGATTTATAGTTATTTATGTATCAAGGGAATTATGCAGGTGTTAATACCCCAGGGCAACGTTTGTGTCCCGAGGGCCTCCGGCCCGAGGGACACCAATTGCCCGTGGGTATTAACTCCTGATAATTCCCGTGGTACATAGATAATTTTATATCCTGCTGAATTTACTGTATTCTGTCTATTTTTATAAAGGAATAAGCCATAATTCAAAATTTCTATTTTTTGTCAAAGTGTTACCTATTCAACGTAAAAGCGGGAGTTATGGAAATCCTTAACTCCCTTCCTTAACTCCCTTGGGAGTTATGAAAATCCTTAACTCCCTTGGGAGTTAAGACCCTGTTTATGATTATCGTAACCAAGGTATTATATGGTTTTAATAGTTCAGTAGGATATAAAAATATTTTTAACTCATTCCCGGCATTTTGCCTTGTACTTTATTTTTCAAATTTCCACAAAATGGGATAAAATTTTGTATACATCACCTGAGTTAAAATGTTCAACCCACGAGCCCTAGCGTTTTTAACTCACTTGGTGAAATAACTATTCTGATGGATATGTCCATTTAAATCCTATATATTCATATTTAAAAGTAACAAGGGGTTGGGAAAAAAATGACGGCGTTTACCATATGAATATATAGGATTTTGAAGAACCAATCAAAAGTGAGACGGCAATTGTCGCCACCACTGTGGTAATAAAGTCACTGTCGTAAAACCAAGTATGCATAAAGCAAAAGCTCGCGTAATCATAACCTGTAGTGCAAATAGCAGCGTACGTCCAGGCGAGAAAGGAAATGCTGCGTACGTCACAACTGGTGATTTGGAATGGGGGGGAAGAGGGATTTGTTCCACATAGGCCTTATGAGGATAGGCTATCCTTTAGTAGTAGCGTGTATTATCTTTGTATCCTCATAAGGTCTGTAGACCAAGGTTGCGATTTTCGAAACCATTCGAGTACATTTCGTACACGAAATTTGACTGACAGCAATGTAAATTAAATGGGGAGCATTCGAAATCGTATCAAATTTCGTATGCGAAAATATTCGAAAATAGGACCCCAAATCTCGAGCCCCCCATCACGTAAAAGTAATGGTGATGACGTGCGCAGCGTGTCATTTCTCACCTTAGCCGCTTTCGAGCTGACATGTGTTTGTGCATAAACACGGTGCAGCTCAAAATGGTCAGCTGGAAAGCGGCTCTTGACGTAGGGTATTTATAAAAAATAAACCACAGGCTATGAGTCCGCTGGCTTTTGCTTTATGCATACTTCTTGGTTTTAGTACATTAATTAAAACATCCTAAAACAACCCTTTTTTAGATGTCGTTTGCGTCTTCCTCTTTGCCTATTATGTTCAAAATCAAATCATCTAAATCATAAATGTATATTCTAAACCACGACCGCTGGCGCAAACAGCTAACGAAAGCGTCGGACGTCGGCAACGGTGCAACACAATACGACATTGATTTCAAAAATCGAGGCTGATGAGCACTGTAGTAAATAGTGTGTAATATCCTTGACTATCAACTATTAAGGATTAACGAACTTTGGTTATGTTTTTGTTTTGTATCGGCTCGTTTCATGTTGTTTTCGTTTTCACTTTTTCAGTTTTGTTTTCAGAATTTTCATTTTTATGGTCTCGGGTGTGGTGAAAAAGCAGCTCCGGCCTAAGTATCACTATGGAAAAAGTGTACCCTCCAGAAAAATTTAAAGCAACAGAACCATTGGATTTGGAAACTTATTTCAAAGAATATCAGGCAGAACTTAATTTACCCAAACTGCCTTCAAATGATACCCCAAATAATATTTCAAAAATTCTACAAGAACAATTTCAACTACCTTTTTCTAATGATGATATTTTAAACCTGGAGTCCCTTTGCACGTAAGAAGCCCTTTTACTTCTTGATCTTATACCTAATTTATTTTGCAGATGTTGATGTTATTTGACTAAGTAATCTAAGTATATATTTTCCATTCTAGTATTTCCAAGTTAACATCCCACCAAGAAAACCCCAATTTACCCCTAAAAGATATTCAAACAAGTCGTAATAACCGTAGCATGCCAGAGACACATCAAATTGTACCAGAAGCCAGAGGTTTATCTACTGTTCGTAGCACAGTAATATTGAATAGTGTTAAGGATCAGCCGAAACTGTATGAAAGGCGATTAACTGCAACAAACATAGATGATCTTAAAATAAAATCTGATCCTGATGCAATGAAAGATATTGAGCCAGGATCTGCCTTTATTCAAAGGGTGTCGATTCTTATGCCATTAGATTTCCTACAAGGGCATAAGCAGTCAGCAGACTATCTCAGAGTACAATATGAAATTGACATTTTAAGCACACAGACCTTATTAGATTTAGCAAATTCTATAAAATGCATTTCAGATATGCTTGCCATAAGGGAAGTTGATAATATGGATACGTATAAAAGAGAATATCTTGGAGATCCCAAAGTAATAATTTTAATAAATGAGTACTCGCCCAATTATTCTTGTTTAAAATAAAATGTATTTTATTTTAGATAGAATATCCTTCAAGGAGTTTTTTTATAGAAAATACTTTCTACAATGATATGTCTGCACCAAACTCCATTGATTACTCAGAGGTAATACAGAATTGGGCAATGCAAAATAAAATTGGAACATTTGGAACTAAATCTATGAATGTAACTATAGGGTCTCTAAAACCTCGTTTCGGGTATGGATATGTGTTTATTCACCAAGGCAATTGTGAACATGTAGTTTGTTTTTCTGATGCCAGACTTTTGCAAAACTGTGATGATTTAGCTTCAAACAAGTGAGTATTTCACTTACATTTGAATGCAGATTTTAATAGCAATATCCAAGGTAAATATCTAAAATTTTATTTTTTCTTAGATATCCCAAAGTTGTTTTTTCGAGACGTATTCACAACCACATATGTTTTATGTGCTCAGATGTCCACTCGTCTTGGTTAGTAGTAGGCAGTGATCGGCTAACAGTTAAAAATGCATTTTTATGCACAGAATGCTGCAAATCGTATATGTTTTTGAATGGGGAAAAAATTGGAAAATTCAAATTGTACCCTCTATCCAACAGTTTTATTGTCAGTGAAGCCATAAAGGAAGCTGATGAGGAAGAGGACAACTGATAATGGTGTTGGGCAGACAGATACTATTGGGTGAATTTCAATAGGGTTGCACGCGCTTCTTGACCTTTCGTTTAGTTTTAACTTGTAGTGTAGAGTTAGTGAGTGATGGTAAAAACACTGACTGAAAATAGTATTGGCACTACCGCACCAACCAGGGTGAATAAGAGAATGAGGATTAGACTTTATAAATAAACATTAATTTTATTCAAGTATTTAATAACCTGATTTCATATTTAGTTTTTATACATATCTTATAAGTAATTAAATTGGGATGCTAACTTTAAATACCTACAACAAAAATCACAGTTCGATTGTAAATTAAAACAGAAATACTTTGACTCGACAGAAGGGAGATCAAACTTTATAGGAATAATCTGACATCAGTCTTGTAGCTATTTTTTATTTCACAAAAAAAATTATCTTTTTAAATCTATGTAAGTTAGTATATCTCTTCTTAATACTTTTGCGTCTTCATCTGAAACAATCTCATTATTTTTAATATCTTTACTTTTATTTGCAATTACATTTGGAATGCCAAAATCACTATTGTTGGCACTGTTTTGTTGTAAAATTAATGGTAAAGGTAGCATGTTTTTAACAACATTTTTGGTAGAATTATTTGTCTTTTTTGTTTCCTGTCCAAGATTGACTAGCAACGGCACTGTATCATCATCTTTTCCAGTTTTATTTGAATTAGTCATTCCTATTTGTAAGCTTTCATAGATACCTTTGGAATTTGAAATATCCTTTTCTGTGTTTTTCACTTTGATTTCGTTTAGTAAACTTTTTTGGGTCATATTATTCTGCTTTATTCTTGCACTAAGTAAGCTATTTTTATGTTTGAGGTCTTCTATGCTTACTTTGTTTTGAGATTTATTAATCGTATTGTTTATAGTTTCCAAAACAATTTCTTTCTCTTTTTTCAAGACATCTTTCTCAAGCTCTGCAACAATTTTCTTATTTTCCTTTGAATCGCCACTTATTTTTTCAATCGCTTTTAATGCGATACTTTCAATTTCTTTTACTGCTTTTATTTCAGCTATCAGTTTTTCTTCTTTTGCCTTTTCATCTTCTCGTTTGCTGAGTACCTCAATCAATTTTTTTTGTTGTTCTACTAATTCTCCTTGTACCTTGTTTTGTTGTTGAATTTGATCAAGTATTATTTGATGCTCTTTGATATGGGAGTCTTTGTTTTCTTGAAGTAGAGTTTCTGTATCTTCTTTTTTTATTGCTTCAATATCAACATCTTCATTGTTTTTAGGATCATTAACTTTCTTATTAGATTTCATATTTTTTTTGTTGTTCTCTTCTTTAACATCTCGGCTTAAATTATCATCAGAAATTTTTTTCTCATTTGCCTGTGAGTCTTGTGGCTCCATTGGTTGTGGTGGCTCATGTCTTATCTCAGGACTGACTGTTATCTTTGCAATGTTTTCTTTTGTTTGATTCAAAGTCATATGTTTATTTTCATCTTCGACAATTACTTTTAAATCTTTGGCTACAGGATCAACAAGTTTCAACTCTCTTTTTTCTGATATATTTGGCACTACGGGAGACATTTGAGCATTTTCTAAACTGCGTATATTTTCATGAGTACCCAGAATCATCAATACTAAACCAATAACTAAAATGCCTTTAGCTAACAGCCTTTCATTGGTATCCTTTTGTGAAATGTAAATAAAGCAAATAACAGGAAATAAAACGCAAATAATTATGCCAATAGAAGAACCAACTAATCCCAATACAAATTCAATATTGGGAATTAATATTCCAATAACTAAGGAAAACAAAACTATTATTACAGTCAGTCCTTTGAATCTCCCTTCTGGAATATAATCATTTACATTTTCATGTAAGGTAATACCTTGCCTGTAAATAAGAGAATGTGCACTGGCCCTACAAGGAAATATCACTAGCGGAAAACTGAAGGCAATTGATAATATAAATCCTAACTTTATAACATTAGTTAACAATGATGCATCAAAACTTAACAATATATTACCAGTGAAATTTGTGTTTGCAAAAGCTACATAGCCAAAAAATCCTACAAAAAAATAAACTATAGTGCATATATTAACAGCATTTTTGATAACATGATTCATTTTTTCTAAGCTAGGATTATTAATAACTTGGTAGATTTCAAATAATTGAGTTTGGCATGATAGTGCCATAGAAAATATTGGTAAACATTGTATTACACCTTCAGGTTTCCAAAATACTACTTCAGTTATCCAATCTCCTTGAAAAATTCGAGGCATAGCATCAATTACAATTTTTACTACTAGGCAGATATAGAAACCAATAGTGGCCTTTGAGACTCCACTTAAACTATCCACATTTTTTAAAAGACCTAATGGTAACACACAAAATAAAGCTACAGCTAATAAAATAGAGGATCTCATTGTGCTGCTTGTTTCATGTCCAGTTATTTCCGATATAATAGCTGGTCCTAGGTCCCCCATGACAACAAAGAATGCTATACACGTACCTACTAGAAACCCGATCATTCCAACTTCTATGGCGAACTTGCCAAAACTTCCAAATATGTGATAGGCTAAATATTCGAAATGTTTCCTTCGTGCTATGATGGCCGATTTGATGAGAAAGTGGCATGATAATCTTGATATTAAATTACTTAGTAAAAGCATAATTATAGCTAGGAAGATACCACATTTTTTAAAGCAATAAGGCATTGCCAAGATGCTGACGCCGATTATGCTATTTGCCAGCGTTAACACGTGTCCATTATAAACTTCCATTTTTGCTTGATAATTATTGTAGAACTGATTTTTCAATAGTATGTTTTCATTTTTAATTTGATTTTAGCAGAAAAATCAGGAAACTTTCAAATTGTAATGTAAATAAACAGTGCCCAGGGGCCACGTCAAAGAAATTGAGGTTATGATTGTGATGGGATGGTGATTATTTTAAGGGGTTTTCATTTTGTTCTTAATTGGCTTGCTCCTAAATAACTGGAAAATTTTAATTAGAAAAATATCGGCTCGTAACATAGAACATTGGATCTGCTCCCTATTATTCTAGTAACTCATCAAACGAAAGCAATCACTAATTTTATTGGTAGTTCAAATGCATTGGGTGCCCGTTCGGTTGTGTGCCCCAAAAATAGTTGCTGGTCTGCGAGTGACGTTACCCTCAGACCTCGATGGTTGGTAGCAAGGATAATACACACTACTATTACAGGATAGCCTATTCTCATAAGGCATGTGTGGAACAAAAACGAGGCCGATAAGCAATCGGTTGCTAGCAGTTAGGATGTGCTTTGTGCTTGTGCGTTAATTTTTTAATTTTAAATGTAGAAAAGGTGATCTATGGTTTTAACTCTATTGTAAGGCTGCGTGCACATTGGCGAGCGGTGCGCGTTGAGCGGCGAGCATTTAGCTTTGCTGACGCCCGCGGTGTTGTGTGCACATAAACAAGTTTACTTTATGAGCGTTTTTAGTTTAGAATTGTCCTAGTCAGCAAGATGTATACTTTGATGCTTAAAGTTTTATGAGTTTTTCAGTGTAAAGTACATAATTATGCTGTCTCCCGAAATGTGCTGCAATAATTCCAATGATACCTTCGTTGAAATTAATTTTTATGTCAATTTCAATAAAAATTTGAATTTTTGGTATCTCATTATCCCTGGCAAACGTATAATAATTCTTCCTGTTCATCGCTGTCGCTCGACGAAGATAAAAAATATAGAATTTTATCAATATCTATATCCGTAATTTTTTGGTTTTGTTATATACAGACTTTTCGGCACTTTACGCCATTTTTGTTGTGCTCTGACATTGGCAGGAGCTCTCTGATTTCGTGCTGGAAAAGTTGCACCAGGGCAATAATTGATTGCCCTGGTTTTCCAATAAAACATAAAAACCCGCTCGAGAACTGCCAACAGAACATAATTTTTGCATGAGTGCAGCACGAGTTTCACCAACAGAAAACGCTATTAGTTTTTATATCGTAAACGTCGCATCAAACCTGAAAAACTAGGAATATCTTTTTAGTTTAAAATTAAACAAGGAATCAAGAAATAATTTTTAATTTGCCAAAAAGCCCAAGGGCGTGCCACTTTTTTCTTTCAAGAAATAAGTGTCGCTCTAAATCCGGTCTTGGGAAAATTGAACTCAAACGGCTGTTTTAGAAAGATGCTTGAGAACATTGCAAATACTCGGTGAAAATTTGAACAAAATCGCTTAGGGGGGCTTTTATTTGAAATTGATGCAACTTTGCGTACACGCAAATAACGCATTCACGATTGAAAATTGGTGCACGGCTTATTTTGACATGCACTTTTTCAATCGCAAATTACGTCATTTGCGCCATATTTGCGCGTACCTACGCAAAGTTGCATCAATTTCAAATAAAGCCCTCCGGCATTTTGAATCTGAAGAAAGTGCTTCTGATAGTGAAGAGGAATTGATCCTATTATTGAATCAGTGTAAAAAGAGTGCCAACCTTTTTATTCTGATCAAAGCTGCTTTCGGGTGCCAGCCTTTGAGCGGTCTCGATTTACTCCGAAGTACTCCAGCAACAGTTTAGTTAGACCCGTTGGGTTTCAAGCGTTCGAGTGCAAAACGCATGGAGTATGACAGGTGTAAAGTGTTCTAGGAGCTTCTCACTCTGCACCCGAAAGCGGCTCAAAGTATTTCAAGTTTCAAAAAAGGCAAATGTCAACATTGTTGAGATCCATATTTTTCGACTCCATCTTAGAGGGCTCCCTCCATCACTACTAATCACTATTGAATAATCATAATGAAAAATCAACCTTAAAATCCCGTCAAAGCCGGTAAAAACCGCGGGGCGTTTTTCAGCCCAGTCCCTGAGTGGGATAATTTGGGCGCACTCTGCGCACGACAACTGTCGATTTCTGAACGATTCTAGCATAACACTCCGAGTGAGCACCTGTTAATTTATGAACAGTTTAGAGTTACTCTAGGGTCACTCTCACACCTAGAGTGCTATTTCCAAACGCAACCCTGTTGTTTCACTGAAACGCACCCTACTTTAAGCGTCGAGTTTTTGATGCACCCATAAAACTGCTTGAAAGGGCAGGGGAGAGGAAAAACGAACCGTTCAGTTGCGCGAAACTCTGAAGCACTGGAACGCCTATAAACAGCTTGCTTAAAGTTCGTCACTGGAAAACTACTCTGGAGAGCCTATCCTCATAAGGCATAAGGTAGTTCATCAAATTCACTTCAAATCTCAAGCGCCCATTGCAAGCCTTCCCAACGTGGCAAAGCACCAGTGATGACGTCATTTCTCGCCTTGACGTAGGATGTTTGCACCACAGGTTATGGTTCCGCGGGCTTTTACTTAATGTATACTTGGTTTTACTACATTCACGTATCGTGTGGGAAGGTAACTTTGGCGAATATTTGTCCTTCGTCATGTTCCCGCCAATTATCGGTAAACTGGCACGAAGCAAAGCAAAGGAAGGCGAGGCGAAATTGCTTCGCACTGCTCCCAGACACTTCGGGGGTATATGTAAAGTCTTTTGTCAGTTTATAGCGGTGTGCAGTGCCGCAATGTTGATTTTTGCATTTTTAGTTATTTTTAATTAAAATAAGAAATGGAGTGGACCGATGAATTAACGTTAGAATTTTTACAATTATTTGGAAATGAACCTGTCATTTGGAACCCAAAGATACCTGCTGAAAATAACACAACTACTTAGTTCTTTTCACGTGGCTCCGGTTCAACTAACCGGGTTACAAAACAGTTAGAGAAATGACATACCGTTTTCTAAGCCGGTTACAAAGTGACGTGATGGATACCTACGTATGTTGCGGTTTGTTAAACCGGAGCCACGTGAAAAGGGTTCTTGTGTTATTTTCAGCGGCGCAACAATCTGCTCTTCATTACTTCATCAATGTGCATTTGAACTAAACAAACGTCATGCATGAAACGCTACTGAAAATCGACGGCCCTCTACTTGGAAACTTCGCCGGACAATTTTCAAGCCAAACCTTCGCCATAGCACCACGCGGTGTGGGAGATCAGGCAAAGATTCGTGCGGATGACGAATATTCGCCTATTCGACGAATACACGTAGCGTCTGGGACCAGCTTAAGTGCCGGTACTTTTGTTCTCTGTTTTCGAATTTGACAGCCGGTAAAGATAATCAGGGGTTTGAACGTGCTCTAATTACATCATACAGACCTTGGCCCATGCAAAACCTTGTTAAATTTAACGACGTGTCAAATCAGTTAATCGATAAAAAGTATCAGCCCTAAAACAACTCTTTTTCAAATCTCGTTTGCATCTTTCTCTTTGCCTATTATGACAATTAAAATTGAATAATATTTTCCATTATAAACTTAAATTCTAAACTACGACCGCTGGCGCAAACAGCTGACGGCTAGTAAATGACGTCGGTAATGGTGCTACACCATATCACCGCGTTTACCAAAAACGAGGCTAAGAAATTCTTTGTAGTGTGTATTATTATCTTTGCCTTCTCACCGGAATTCCAACTATAGAACCTGGTGGAATCAGCTATAACCGATTTTGTTAACCGGTTATTTTGGAACGACCCAGTGCAGACCGGTCAAAACCGATGGATTTACCGGTAAAATCTGAAAATCGCTCTATCATATGTCATATATCAAGAATTATGAGAAATTTGAGGTTACGTTAGGCTCTTCGACTTTTCGAGCTCTTGGATAAGTTGGATCAAGTAAAAAAAAAAAAAGTTTTCCTATCCTTTTAAATATTTAATAATTTGAAATGTTTGGTTTGAATAAAGCCCTTCAAAGGCTAATTATCGCCGATCTACCTATTATCCAAAAAACTAGTGTGAGATTCAAAACAAAACATGTAGAACTGCCGGAAATTGGCCATGGAGTTGCTTTTAGGAGGACAGTACATTATCCAGAAGAGTACACTGTAAAACCATTAGATGTAACAAATTTAGGAGGTAGGGATCCAAAGACTGGGAGAATGGTGGTCAAGGGAATTGGGGGTGGTATTAAACATAAATATCATTGGATCGATTGGAAGAGAGTCGGACCTAAAGAGGGACCTCCTCAGGTAAGTTGACCTGAATTTTGCATTGTTATCGTATTGTGTCTAAATTTTTTCAGGTTGAGAGAGTAATTAAAATAATAAAAGATGGGTGCAGAACTGCTTATGTAGCTTTGGTTGCATATGAAGATAAACTAAAGTATATCTTAGCCACCAATAATATGAAAGCGGGTGATCTAATAAAAACATCTTGTCATATCCCTAGAATACCAGGTAAATACCTAGTTAATGAGGCATCTTGAATATACAATACAAATTTTCCCAGTTAGAGCAAATGAAGGGGATGCCTATCCCTTGGGAGCTCTGCCAATAGGAACTGAAGTAAATTGTATTGAAAAATATCCTGGTCTGGGTGGATTTCTAGTACATTCTGCAGGATGTTATGCGACAATATCCCGTAAGGCTCCCAATAATCGAATTGTGATTATGATGCCTAGTAAAAAGGAGTTTAGGTGAGAATAATTGTTGGAGATTGAAACCTCAAAACTCCACAGTGGTAGTCATTTTTGTTTTCAGTTTACCACAAGAATGTATGTGCACGGTAGGAAGACTGAGTAATGCCGAACATGCTGATACACCTATTGGATCTGCACAAAAAAATAGGGAACTTGGTAATAGGCCAAGATCAGGTGTGTATAATGTACTGATAACTTTTTTTTTTCTACTGATGTAAATATTTTTAGGTTTGTGGCAGAGAAAGGATGGCAGATTTGGACGAAAAATCAGAAAACCGCCTCCAGTAAAGATCATTACCGCAAAAAGGGGAGCTGATCCTGAAGTAATCACTTTGAGCTGTGATCGTCCATTTGTGAAAACTTTACGAGAACAATTTCATTTTTAAAAATGTTTTGAATAAACTTTAATCCATTTATTAAGTTCTTTTGGGTCTTTCCCTATGTACAGTTACCTCAGCTGAAAGGTCTGTTCTTTTACAGAAATAAACGAGTGGTTTTTGATTGGTGCAAATCCAAATCACCAAGGACCCATTTCCACATTTTCAACCAATAGTTCTTTTCGCGTGGCTCCGGTTTAACTAACCGGTTTACAAAACCCGGTTACAAAGTGACGTAATCGATACCTACCACTCGAATTTGAGCGGTATGTTGCGGTTTGTTAAACCGGAGCCACGTGAAAAGGGTTAAAGAAATAATTAACTCATGAATAGGGGCTTTCAATTTTACAAGACGGATCTGCATTCTGCTGCAAGAGTGTGACTACAACGCTGCTCCCTGTTCTGAGAATTTAGAGCAGGTTTGGGTCTCATAGCGTAATCGCCATCCAAGGATGATACACATTGATACTACTACAGGATGGCCTATCCTCATAAGGCCTGTGTGTAATAAATCCCCCCCTACCCCCCTATGCCAAACAACCAGTTGTGACGTAAGCAGCAAGGCGTTTCTTGCCTTGACGTAGGCTGTTTAAACAGCTAACGACTTAGTTATGTCGTCGGCAATGGTTGAAAACAAATGAAAACCAATATGGCGGCGATTACCAAAAACAAGGCCGATAAACACTCCTTAGAGTGTGTATCAATGAACTATAGACTATAGCTAAAAACTGGAATGCGCACACATTGCCATATCTGCCAAAAAAATGAAGCCATGAAAGACAGATGCCACAAGGGGGAAGGTTGTTTTTTTCTGTTGCTCGCTGACATATGACGTTTTCGAAAGTTTTGTCATATTTCCCTTCACAGGTTTCATCAATTGGAATACGTGTTGGAAGCAATTTTCGCCATTTAACATAATGAGTGCGACAAAAACAGGTATCCCCTCCGCAGCAGCCGCACTAGGCTTCACGTTCGTCCTTATGTGTTCGCATTCCAGTTTTTGGTTATAGTTCATTGGTGTGTATTCTCCTTGATCGCCATCCGCATTCCCACGGCCGCAGCACACTTCGATAGACAAAAATACAAAGAACATCGATCGGGTATTCATTAGAGACCGATCATTCCGGTCAATTTTGGAACGGATGATCTGGGCCGAGATTCTAAAATCACGATTCGACACACGACTCGACAACGATACCGGCCTTGTCGTGTCGAAAGGTATAATTCCAATGAGATTTCTAACCTAGAATCGTCGGAAAAATCGTCTCGTTGTCGAATCGTATGTCGAATCGTGATTTTAGAATCCCCGACCTGGTTCAACCGACCGAAAAAGTCGGTACATTTTGGAACGGTTTGGTAAGTCAACTATTAAACCGGTATCGCACCGGTTCAGAATCCAGTGAATTTTGGAAAGTGCCCATAGGTGACTTTTGTAATAGTTGACATTTCCATCCCCACCCTGAGTTTTGTTTGGTGTGTGTTCTCTAAAATAAAAACAAACAAACCTTAAGCAGTCGCTAGGCTGTCTAGCCGCTAGCCGTTTTTTAGATTTTGATTTTGTTCCTGGATTTTTTTTATCAGTTTAGTTTTTTAATCATTCGGATTTTATATGTATGTTTCCAGTATTATTTCAAATACATAAATTTCTGTTTCATAAAGTACTTCAGTGCTAGTTAAAATTTGTTCCTTCTACAAGTACTACAGATTACAAGAATATGCCTGTGCCTTCTAGAATATGTAAGTCATATTTAAATTTTATTCGCCTAATTATATACTTACTGATTTAATTTTGTCCAGAAGATGAATTGTCTCATAAAAGCTCAGACTATTATTAAAAATACACCAAGAAGTATACATAGGTACCTAATGCTAAATTTATTAAATATGAAATTAGTAGGTAAACTAGGTACACTGGAAATCATTGCAATTGGCACATACTATTTAAATATCCCTCGTAATGTGTCAAATCTGACACACAGTAATAGGTAATAGCAAAATGCTGCACCAAATAGATTTATTGGTTAGAATTTTGACTCAATACGAGGAATTTTAAAGAGTGTGTGCCAATTGCAATGTTCCGACTGTACTTATTCTATTTTCAAAATTTGAAATATTTTACATGCATATTTTTTTCTATTATAAATTTAAATCTCGATTTATTTTATGCATTGAGAGCTGGGAGCATGAACTATGAAGTTAGATTACAGATTACACAATTTCAATGAATGTGTATGAATAGATTTGATGACTAATTCCAGTTGCAATAAAATTCAGTACTTAAAGTTGACCACACAAATAGTTGTCGGATTTGGAATGGGGGGACAAATGCATTGCCGACTGTCTTTTTATGTGTGCAACTATATTCATTCGAGATTGTTTGAAAATGCGAAATAGGTACTAAAAAGAAAAGGAGCCAACTTAAATTTATCTCTAAATAATATAATATGTCATTTAAAAAGATGTGTGCAAAATTATTGGTAATTTCTGGTCGGATTTTTCAGAGAATATTACTAAAACTATCAAAGGGCAAAAATACTATCAGAACGAAATATATGATAACTTTATTGCCGTTGTCTTTCTAGTTTTCTTCTTTATCTAATTCGACCCCTAGGGGCTCACCGTCACTTGTTACATATCTTGTTACAAATCACTAATAAAGTAACTATTCATCCATACCTAGGGCTACTTTATTCATCCAATGATCAGATGATGTGTCCCAAGATATGTAGCGGGGAAGGATAATTATTCATTTTATGTGTATCTAAGCTCTGATCCATTTTATATTAGATCAAATGTCACCAATACTTTCTAGTATGTGTTCGGGATTCCACATTTAGAATTACCATACTCATTTTTATCTCTAAAATCATTTTTATTCTTCGAGTACTGCAGGTACATTCTATTTCTAAACCGTTTTGTGATCATTGTGCCCATTTCCAGCATTCTTGTTGCTAAGCGGAAGAGGGAAGAGAGAGAAACACATATTCTTCTACCTTCCACCCCTTAAGATAGGACCGCCCGCGCAACAGAACCAGTTGCTAGACTTCTGTCCTGTCTGTGAAGAAATAGGTTACGCCCAATAAATTACTTTTTTCTCCAAACGTCAGAAAAACGTCACTTTGTTAACTCCTGTCAAAATGTCAGAAGTTTGATTTCTATGCTGCTAGACAAATCCAGCGGGTTAACACCTGTCGAGGTGGTAGAAATTTAATTTCTATGCTGCTTGGCAACCCTAGCGGCAGCAAAAGTACTTTTAGTGCCGGAGCGGCAGTAGAAGTACTTTTAGTGCCGCTCGTACTTTTACTGCCGCTCAACCATTCACTTGCCCCGGAGCTTACCCCATTCGTTTGGAGAAAAAATAGCGTGTTGCATACGGAGTAGAAGCACTTTTTTGTGCTTCAGCAGTATTGCAAACCTACTGCTTCAGCTCAAAAAAGTAAAGCTTCTACTCCTAATACAACAATATACTATTTTCTCCAAACGTCAAAAAAACGCCACTTTGTTAACCTCTATCAAGATGTCAGAAATTTAATTTCTATGCTGGTAGACAAATTGAGCAGGTTAACACCTGTCGAGGTGGTAGAAATTTAATTTTTCTCCGAATGACAGTAAAAGCGGCCTTTTAATGACACTTGACCGGATCAAAAGTTGTATTTTTACTGCCTAGGCAGTAAAAGTGGACTTTTACTGCCTAGGCATTAAAAGTGACAGTGTTACAACGTTCCAGGTAATAATTTCACTCAATTTGGTTGGTATTTGAAATTGATGGTGACAATGACAATTGTCAAAATAATTTAATTATTTGGATAATAATAATGAATGAAATAAATATAAAAAAGATGTCCATGTGTGAATTTGAACATTCGGACAAAAAATTATATGTTTTACATGGCACAAAAGCAGATTTAATGCTTCGGCTGGTTTCCTAGCCTCGGCTATGCCTCGGCTATGAAACACCAGCCACGGCATTAAATCTTGTACTTTTCTGCCTTGTAAAACAAAGTACTATTCTATGCTGCTTGGCAACCCCAGCGGCAGCAAAAGTACTTTTAGTGCCGCTCGTACTTTTACTGCCGCTTAACCATTCAGTTACCCTGAGCTTACCCCATTTGTTTGGAGAAAAAATAGCGTGTTGCATACGGAGTAGAAGCACTTTTTTGTAAAGTAAAGCTTCTCTGGCACTCCCTGTGCTGACCCTGGAAGTGGTCGGAATGACCAGACTCTAATTATTTGTTTGTGAGGTGTACTTGTTTGTTTTTTTACTTAAATGTTTTTTTTTTATCTTAGATGTATGTGTTTATTTATTTATTTTTGTATTAAATGTTTGTTAAGATTTAAGTACAATTTTTTTTTTTATTGTGTATTGTAAATAATGACATGATCAACACCCTCTGGGTAAAATGTTCTCTACCAATTTGTAATTGTAATTGTAAACATATTGATCGAATAATGAAAAAAATCTTCTACTCCTAATACAACAATATACTATTCTTTCTTTTTCACGCGTTTACGAAGGCGTTTGATTATTCTAATTACTACTAAAAGTGATTCTTTCGTTGTTTGCCGGTTTGTCGCGACAACAATAATTATTCTTGTCCATGGTGGCATATTCTCTGACTGAACTGGATCAATAGTTAATTATTTTTTCTCCAAACGTCAAAAAAACGTCACTTTGTTAACTCCTGACAAGATGTCAGAAATTTGATTTCTATGCTGCAAGACAAATTCAGCGGGTTAACACCTGTCGCGGTGGTAGAGGTTTAATTTCTATGCTGCTTGGCAACCCCAGCGACAGCAAAAGTGCTTTTAGTGCCGCTCGTACTTTTACTGCCGCTCAACCATTCACTTGCCCCCGAGCTTACCCCATTAGTTTGGAGAAAAAATAGCGTGTTGCATACGAAGTAGAAGCACTTTTTTGTGCTTCAGCAGTATTGCAAGCTTCACTACGTTCGGCTCGCAAACCTACAGCTTCAGCACAAAAAAGTAAAGCTTCTACTCCTAATACAACAATACTATTTTCTAAAGCCGGAGTCTCATGCATCCGTTTTCCGACGTTTTATGTCCGAAAAACCTATTCTGACATATTTTTATACGATTATGACAGAATAGAAGGTTTTTCGGACATACCTAAAACGTCAGAAAACGGATGCATGAAGCTCCGGCTTAAGTTTGACGTTTGTACCTACACTCTACTGTAAGAACTTGTATGTATGCACAGAAGGACTACCTTCCTTTTGTTTAATACCATTTTGTTTTGTATTTACGCTGTTATGCATACATGCATGTACCGCGATGTGTAATTAACTGTCATTTTTGACTATTATTAAAACTGTTGCATTTACCTGACCAAATCTAACAGCTGTATGCAACATCCTCTTTGAACCTAAAAGCGCTTTTTAAAACTGGTCACTTTTAAAAATGTGTATTCTAAACCATACAAATTTTTAAAGGTACCAGTTTTAAAAAGCGCTTTTAAGTTAAAAGAGGATGTTGCATACAGCTGTAAGTGTTTTATTTGACACTTTTTTAGGCCTTCTCTCAAAACATTAAAAAGTGTTCACAGTCGACTATTGCTCCAACAGTATGCATTTCCAATAGTCTACGTTCCAGGGTAGAATAAAGAATAATGAAAAGCAAATAAAGAGCCCTTTAGGCCTCTACTCTACCTCCTTTGCTCTTTTGAGAACTTTCAGTTTTCATTTAATAATTGTAAACTTCTTTTTTTTTAAAGATAAAAGTCAAAATGACATTATGTTGGCAATGCAATCTAAAATTGTCAATGCTTTCAAATCTTTTAGGTAGAAAAGGCTTGTGTTGCCATCATAGTTACTAAATTTTTGACTTGGGGAATTATCTTTAAAAAAAAAAACAGACTTTATGTGTATGCCACATGTGACAAATAAATAGTTCAGTGAGTAATATTTGATGTTAAATTTTAAAAAGATAGATAAAAAAGTCGTTTGTTTTTTTTTTGAATCATCATGAGTCAGGTCATGAGATTACTGGTTTTAAATAGAGATTTGGATTGCTAAAAGTTTTTTCACATTACGTAATCAAAATTTCAAATTTATGATGATACATTTTTGTTTCTGACAGTGGATTCTAAAAATTTAGCTAAAACTGCACAACATTTGTATTTACATCTATCATCTACCTATAAAGGGGAGGACTCCAGGTAAGGGGTCAGAATAATAGTGAATAACCCGGTACTCACCTACTTACATAGCTATATATTTTTTTGAACCTCGTTTATCTTGTTGATAGCAGTAAACTTTGGTGTAGGTATGCATGACACCTGAGTCAGCAAAAATGATAGTGAATTCTAGGTATGTGGTTGATAAAATATGCCATTAAACCACTAGGTATGCATATTAATATTATTAAGCATTAAGATTGTGTGATAGTTTGGCTTATTATTGGCAGCAATATTTCCAATTTTCCATGAAATAAATATTTAATTACTTTCTATATTTAGAAACTACCTAATCCTGAAATGTTTTTATTACTTGATTAATTACTTGCGTTTGTCCTGCTGATTTTTATTTATTGTTTAATGATTTAACAACCTTCCATCGATTGCCAACGCTTGGCAAAATAATTGAAAAGATTGTTAAGAAGCGTGTTGTTGGATACTTAGAAAAAAACAACATTCTAGCGCAAGAGCAGTTTGGGTTTCAGACCTCCAAGGGGACTAGTGATGCCATTTTCTCGTTTCTGGAATCGCTGTACCTGAATCT